CCAGCTTCGACTTTCACTAAGTAATCAACTTCATAAGCGAAGCAGGAGAAAAGCTGGGTACGGGTTACGCCTTTTATTAATATCTATACAAAGTATTTTCCAATGACCCTTTTTCTCTTATACGAGTATCTCAATTAACATATATTACTGGTTCTTTATAACTAGTTAAGCAGATAAATATTTATATAGTGTTACTCTTTATACATTACGTATGTGTCAAACCTGTACTTATTCAAAATGTATTTGAAACATTATTAGACTTTTGATGTTATAATATGAAAAAAATTGTACAAAAGCTGGTTTTTCTACTTTCAAATTTGAAAATAGTGATTTCGATGTGTCAAATTTGATAAATGGTCATTCAAAAACCCCAAGTGTCTAAGAAATATAACTGAATGTTATATTTTGAAGGCCCTTGCGTACAAATTTTACAAGGGTTCACCAAGGGCGCATACCGGGTCCAACATGGCTTATTATTTAGTTCAGTGGTACTTAAGCAACTGCAATACTTAAAAAAAATACTCTAATTAGCTAGATAAGAATATCGAAGTTAAGAGACTTTACATGGTTTTGGTTCTTAGAAATGATACATAGATTTTTGTATTTACCTAATCATGGACAGATTATGAGGAGGAAAATATTAAGGTATGTAGGAAAAATAAATTGAATGAAGTATTTTATATGTACTTTCAAATGCTTTATTTGAATTTCTTTAGTGTGATAATTACATATCTAATTTATAGGCTTTTAGCACTGGCCTTAATATTTTCCGTGCTAAAAAATTGGATGATATAATAATCACTATTCAAAACATAAATTTATAAATCAGTCTTCATCAAAATAATACATTTGATAAATTTGATTTATGGAATGATACACTCATCGTGTATTTCAAACAGCTTAATCACAATATTGGACACTAGCATAACTAAATAATAAAAATACACAATGATTATTTTTAAATAATAAACAACAATTTTATTTTTTTAGTAACATTTCGCTCATAGGCCAAGTCACTATCCGATTAGGATTTTCAAATAGTACACATACAGTTTTACACATTCAGCTAATACATAAATAATGCACATAAGTGAAACAAGACGTAGTCTACATAATAATAAAGTGCTGCGAAAATGCGTTATATGAATACATTGTAATAATAATAATTAGCTAAATACATTTTACACAAAACTTTAAAAGTAAACCTTGGCAAACCAAGAACTTTTTAATTCCAATCACAATTTAATTTTCTTATTTATTTAAGGCTATTGCTATTTTTATTTTTAATTTTCAATTGTGTAAATTACATGTCTAATTCAAATGAGATATTGTGCTCAATGGCTTAGGCATTAAGTTGACGAAGTGACGTCACGGTTTTAATTTACAACGTTCATATTGAAATTATGGCTCGCTTAGAACGAGTTAAGCCCAGTTTCAAAAAATCAATAATTCTTTGTCTAACCTACCTCAGGGACCTGCTGAACCTTAGTTCATGTAAATTTGTAAGAAGCAAAATATACTTTAATTATCAGCTATAAGACTCAATTTAACTATAGCAATGGGCAGGTACCTTACTTACGGTACGGCTACGGTACTTTAACTTACGAACAAAAACATAGTTTTAGATATATAGATAAAATTAGATACTTTATACTTTTCTGATACAATAAGGACTTTAATCATGGTCTAATTAAGTCTCTGTTAGTCTAATTGACAGATATATAGACATATTTTCCTATAGAAATGTAGCATTATAGTAAAATCGTGTCAAATAAACTAACAACAAGTTAATCGAACATTTTCGCCCATAAGCCCCTAGAAAAAGAAAACCAGAAAATCTGAATGTTAAAGAAAATATTCTATAGAATCGACTAAATACTTTGAAATTTTCAATTCCGTTTACTAAGCAAATTTGTGATATAATACTTAATTGTTCCATTAAATGACTATATCAGTCTTAAGCCCGTTTTATTGGTACCAAAAAGCAAATCTATGGTTGTGTTATACTTGTGGTTTCCAATACATTTCGACAGTTAAAAGATTACGTTTTAAGACTAACTTTAAGACTAATATACATACATTTATAGTTGAATCAATATTCACATTAATTTAAGTGATTTCATCCACTGTAACATAAATTTAAGAAATCTAGCAGCTCTACTTAGAATTAGATTTTTACAAGCGAATATTTTTTAATGAAACAATGCTTTAGAAAAACTAAGTTCCAAAAAAGGGGCATTAAAAGATATGAAAACTGTTTCAGTGTATAAGAATAGGAATCTTACACATATTAGAATGTATCTTGTAATACTGAATTTCTTTCCAGAGGTTGTGGGTACAAGCGTAATGATTTACTACAGCCCGGCTCGTAGCAGGAATTGCAACGGGATGATTTTTACTCAGTAAGAGCCTGACACTACATCTCTCTAAACATTTTCATTTGATTATTGACTTAAGGTAATTTTCATGTGACTTTTTTGTCTCAAGTCCTAAGAAAAGAGATACTAAATCTAGCTCAAATTCTTATTGACTTGCGACTAAATATCTGTTGAGTTATTTCAATGGCTAAATTATAATTATTGAAAAACTGATAATGGCATATGGCCTGTTTCATCACATTGACAAATTTCGAATTTTAATTACGTTCCATGATCAAATTATCTGATACAATGCTGCTATTCAGGCACTTACTGACTTGTAGAGGTTGCGTTGCTCAATAAGGTACAGCGGCCTCGGTCTAAACCAGGGAAAGGAACGGAAGGGTTTTTAGTCGGTAAGAATCTGACACTTCCTCTCGCTTTCTCCCTGGGTAAGAGAAGTAATTCTCTCATATGTTCTCGCACATGTATGTTATTTTTACTCTGACTGACCTCTGAATTTGTTTCGGCATTTCTTCAAAGTAGGCAGATAGGAAATGCCGGCTTCATCTAGTTTTTCACATATAAATTGACGTGTAAAAGTGCCGTTTTATGGCCTATTTGCAAAAATAAATTCATTGTTTCATTTGATGATTTTCCTCTCACAAAAAAGTCCCTTACTGACTTTTAATTTTCTAGTACAATCTACCAAATGAATAAAGATTAAATTATAAAAAAGCTTTAGAATTATCATTGATGGAATGCAAACGAAAATGCCAATATGCAGTGGAATCAGATACGTGAAACATTAAAATTCACACATAGTAAATATACACATTGAGATTATATTCAAATATTTAGGCACTAAAAGTTGAATTTTATACATAGTATGTATTAGTATACTGTATATTATTATAGAGTAGAACTATACAAGTATTACATGGATCGTTAGGATCACAAACTTTGAAGTAAATACAATGTAAGGTAGTATAGATACCTAATATATAAATAGTCAAAAAACTGCTTTCCTATATACATTGGACATTCATATTTCTATACTTCGGAAACATTAGAATCACTAGCTTATTAGACTCGTCATATTACATACTCCAAAAGATATTCGACTCTATTGCAAAACTAATAAAGCTGCAATTCTATTATATAATAGGATAGTTTGATTTGCCAGCATTTGTTATTATCTGCTAAAGTTATGAAATATTTAATACTTAAAACAGAAGTTTATTGCCCATAGGAATCATTAGTATACTTTTTACTAAACAATAATTTTATTATTCGAGATTATGATTAGCGTCTCATTGTCGACACTGCTGCCATCTGTGTATTGAGACACCAAATGTTATCGCACTTTTTTATCGTCTATATACTGTCGAACAAATGTGTTTCCATGTCATCTAGTTGATGAGAGCGCTAATAAAATAGAACATTAGTGATAAGCCAATAAAATTCAATTATCTACCGACCGTGTTGAACAGTCATATAATAAAAACAAACCTTATCTGCTTCACTAACATTCTAACATACAAAGGCTCACATTCAATCGAAAACTAAATTCTGAACTGATTACTCATAAATACTCCTTAAATCCAGAAACACCTTGATTATATTTGACAATAAAAAATTTTAATCTCATTAAAAATTAATGACTTGCAACCACGTTTATTCGACAATCTATTGACACAAATGTACTACCTATATTCTGTCATTAAAAAGTATGCATACTCATTATAATGTGAACTTTTTGGTGCAATTATGAAATTAACGACTTACATCAATTTACTGAGAAAATCTTTGCTGGCTCGTGGCCACACGCACTCTGCTCGTGAATAAGAGCCCCGTTGTGACTTGAAAATAGTCGAGCTTTTCACAGTTAATTCACGTGAGTAAGTTTATTTTCAATAATAAATGTATTATGTCTCACGATAGTTTTTGGTGCATCCAAAGAAATACTTTTATTATCTGTGTTCCATTCAAAAATACTTCAAATTAAGTTTCTTTTAATAGAACAATCGCTCTAATATTGCCTACATAAAATTATAATCTAATAAAATATAAGAATCTGATTAAATACTTGCTATAAGCGTGCATAAAATATAACATACATCGTGTACAAAAATAATGTTTTTGTATAACATTAAAACAAAATGTAACAATATGTGAGTTTGTAAGTGGACACGCTACAATTTCCTTAGCAATTTAGTTACTTTAATACCAACATTTCTTTTAACTACTTGTGAGGACCGTACCAATATGTAGGTACTCAAAAATAAAGTGCGGCTGACGTATCTTGGCGAGTCTGAAGTTAGCTGTTTGTCTGAGGTCCGCCGCACTGTATCTCATGGCAGTCATGGCTAGTAGTAAAACGACAGTTAATAAAATCAGTAATTAATCAATAATTAGGGTGCCTGCTTTACACGGGTGCAATGCTGATAAAGAAACAGTATTTATTGGATTTTTATACATATAAACCTCCATCTACAATCATTCTATCTATTAGAAAAACCGCATCAAAATCCGTTGCGTAGTTTTAAAGATTTAATTAAGCATACCTACATGGGGATATAGGGACAGAGAAAGCGACTTTGTTTAATATTATGTACTGATTACCACCACGATTCATGACTCTAATTCCCAGAAAGGATAAATCTTAAAATAAAACATTTCGCTGCAGCATAATCAAAGGCAAGGATAAGAATAATAATAACGTGTCTTCTTACAACCTCACTCACTCACTCACAGAAGCAGTCATTTAAATCCAATAACAATATCGATAAATACATTAGTGTTCAACACAATGACGATAATTACATCAATTAATATTCATACCGGTTACACCGAATTTAATTGGATCCATTCCAACATTAATTAAACCGTTTACCTTATGTCCTAAATATTCTTCTTCGTAAACTCCATTGCAATCTCCATTCGAGTATACTTTATTAGCTTTTCTGCTTTCAGCCTCTTCTATAGAATCTAGTAGATGTTCAAAAAAGTTTGGAAAGTTATCGTAGCTTGGGTACACGTTGATGTCAATGACCGCGTGCCCGCCAGTCACATTGTCAATAACTACATCGAAACCAGCTAAGAGTAAACCTATCCTCTTTCTTAATATCCTAATTATAGTTTTAATCTTGTCCTCATTTAGAGTCATTGTAATATCGGCCTTATCGTGAGGGTCTAAGATTGAAAGTGTGGACTGACTATCTGCTTTACAAACCTCGCCCGTACTGTAATATATTGGTTCTAGATCTTCCGATGCGTAGAAGTTCTTCAGACTAGGTCGCTCGCAAATGTGGTACCTGGAATCAGTGATATTCATATTAAGAATTGTAATTAATGGCATTGTCATATTTCACGTTATCTGCGTAAAACTAGAATAATAATTTGAGCGTTTACAAGGCATGGGAACTGCACAATCTTCGAAAATGCTCATCAGTTTTAATGAAAATTGGTTCTTATACACCATATTATCAAGGTCTAAATCTTAATTAAGGACATTTACAGTTGGAAACCCGTACCTCGTAAACGTTGTTAATAATATGCTTGTGTAGTTCATGGGTGTTACATATTTATAAAATCAGGTGTCATGTATCATAATAATTATGACACAAGATGTGGCAAAAATAAAGTGTTTGCATAAATTAACATTGTAAGGTTAAACAAAAATATATAGAATATGGAAATTTTGTGGTTTATCTATCGCAAATGTAAAAACCATTGCCAAATACCTACTGAAATTGGACACCCAAAATTCTGCGCCAAATATCAAATAATCACAAAACTTAGTTTTGTGGCTTTATCTCATGACAATACTGGTAACTTATGTATGGATAAGGAGGCGATATATAAAGTATAAAATGAAAGTAATACTAACCTATCTCCTATTAGGAAAACTTTATGCAACACTGCATTATGGTTGACAAAGTTTTGTACAACACAAGGAGGCTTGCATACATGCAACCCTTTCTCATTGAATATCACTATCATATCGTGGGCTGACTTGGATCCATGGGCGATGGTCGGCTTGCAGATGACCGGGAACTTAACTCCTCTCTGCCTCATTATTTCAATATTCATTTCTATGTTAGCTGTTGTGAACTCCGCAAATGACGGAGTGAATATTCCCTGCTTACGAAGCGACGGCTCATCTTGTAGTATTGTGTAGTAGCAGTATCTGAAATGTTTTATTTATCATTTTAGTTCTTTCTTGCGTACATGGCAATGCCCCGATCCCTATCCACCCTAATCCCCAAAAGATCGGCAATAAACGTGTACCTTCTCGGTTGTGGCAGGTCTTTATTGTCCATGGGCGGCTCTAATTGCTAACCATGAGGTAATCCGTCTGTTCATTTGCCGTTTTATCACATAAAATAAGAATAATTGCCTTTTTCCCGCCCTTTGTAAAGCAAGGGGGAGCGTCAGACTCTCTAAGAGCGACACTGCTTTTTTACACTCTCAGTTTGTACGTGGCTAGTTCAAGAATGTGGAAGTAGCAAAGTAAATGCTCAAGGATTATATCCGATGATGATCTATCTTAGTCTTCCCTTATTGGGCAAAAACATGTAAGTACAGTCAGGGTCTCAGAAAAAAGGCTTTTTAGACCTATTCAAGAGTTCATCAGAGATCCATACTCAGTGACGTATTAACCCCAAACCATATTACGCAAAAGCAGCAGAAGAAGCACAAAAAAATGCGTCCGAAAAATAAATTATGCTTTGGTTTTTATTGTTCTCGCACCTAATCCACTTCTAAGGTATGTTACATCTCATCATCATATTTTTCACTGCCCGTACTTACTTACATGCAGAACAAACACAAAGTAACATTTTGCTACGTAAATAGAACATTAACTGACTCACGATTCCTACGTACATTATCTTTTATCACGATATGATACATTATATAATGTGATGAAGACATCAAGACATTTGTCATTTGTTGACCAATAAAATACAATCTGCTTAAGTCAATGACTTTTCACATTGTTTTGTTAAGTAATTATCAAGGGATCTTAGGTCAAGACATCAATTAACACTAATCAATGCACTCGTATAATTACTCTTGTCTTATGCACTTTTGCTGAGATAAAAAGTGCTTTATGTGTAAGAGATAGGGTTTATAATTCTGGTCATATGACAAACTCCATTCAATACTAAGTGTTACTTGGTAAGTCTATCCATTCATATCGTATGAAAATTGATAAATTTATTTTTAAGTTTTATATTACTCTACATTTGGATTATATCCTGTGTCGTACATGAATTTATCTATCTATACTAATATTGTAAAGAGGTAAAATTTCTAAGCTTGTATATTTGTAAGTTTGTATGTAGGAGGTAATCTTTGGAACCGCAAGTCGGATTGGCAAATTTCTTTCACTGATAGATAGCTACAATGTTCCTGAGTGCTACGATCAAATGGAGCCAAGCAGCGGGTGAAACCGCGTGAGAGTAGCTAGGAAACAATAATTTCACATAAAACGTCACACAAAGAACTTTAATAGTTGGATATGATACAACACCTAACTTGCAGTTTATAAATTACAATAATACGCTTGCCCCCACCTTCGCGCCACTCTTGATCTCTACCTCACCCGTCCACAATTCGGAAATCCCTCACTCCCCAAAACATTAACCACAATATAGGCAACATACTTTGTAACTCCTCGATGTTGAGGGTTACTATGGGCGGTGGCGATTTTATTATCATCAGGTGAAACATCTGTTCATTTACCATCACATCTAATAAAAAAAAGTATAAATATAAAACAAAACCACACATACCTATTAAGTAATATCCTCACATTGTCCAATGGATCGATTACTGTTATATTTGGATGATTAGACAGGTACTGTTCCACTCGACTAATGGTTATTGATGCCTGATAACAGAAGAGTGACAGCAATTAATGATCAAAGTCCATTAATGTAGTATAGGTACAACATTTTGCTTTTAACCACTAATGGGAAATATTGATGTTTGTAAAATTAAGATGGGAGTTTGATGCCATATTCATATTTTTTTAATGGCAATATGCACACTTTATTGCAATACATGGCAATGTGACATTACTGGTGAACTGCAGCTTGTAAGATGCACTACTGCATCAGTCTATGCCTTTGGCAATTAAAAGACACAACATAATGTAAATATAATATGTCAATTAGACCATACAATAGTCACTTATGGAGACCCAAAAAAGATTTAAAGATATTAAATATATTCAACAAAATATAGTAACCCTGGCATTCCTCCAAAAGGTAGAAGACAGGTATAAGTCCTATGCATACACTTATAAAAATATGTTCATATTTTAAGAGAAAGCAATAAACTACTTAGAACAGAGATCCACAGATTGTTGTTCCGGGTCTGGGTGTGATGTGCATGTGAAATTGTATGTTTGTAAACGCACCCACGACACAGGAGAAAATCCTAGTGTGGGGCAACGTTTTTAAAAAAAAAAACACATAATTTCCAATGGAAAATAAGGCACATTATCCACAAGCTAAAATATCACAAATTTTAATGACTACAAACAAATGATAGTCATAAATTTGCACATGGTCAAATTGAGATATATCTTTTCATAAAGTTAAAAAAAAAATTACTTATTCCGAAAAACAGACAAAGTAAAACACTTTACTTAACAACTGTCATTTCTAGTAATTATCGTAATTTATCTTCATTATGACTTATTCATAAGACATTGTAAAGACTGCTCAATTAAAAAACCATTAACCATCAAATCAAACATTACAATTCCCAATAATGAAAAAGCGATCAGGAAAATTATCTCTATTACTTTTTTGTTGTTACAAAGCTGTTCGTTTATGTTTTGTATGCCACTCAGTCAAGCAAAACCTATTTATTGTGTGACTCTTTTATTGACCCTGTAGAACAAGGACAAGTAAACTATTAAAAAAAACAGTAAAGGACCACTGACCATGAAACAAATTCGAGTTTTAAAGGTGATAAGAACTAGCTCAGTGGCATTATAATATCACCATTAAACATCCTGCTTAAATAAAGCATAGCATTGCATATACAATGTAAATATGCATACATAAGAGATCAAATAAAGGACAAAATCTAATGCTTCTTGATTGCACAGTTAGAATCAATAAAAGTGACTCATCTTCAAGTTTAAGAGGTTTACTTTATGGATGGGAAAACAAATGAGGGTGATATCATCATGATATTTATATTCAATTTATTAATTAGGAATAACTTGGAGATTACCTTTAAATATTAATATTTACCCACATATTTTAATAAAAAAAAACAATTTGTTTCTAGGTTCAAAATCTAAATCTGAAGTCTTTAAAATTGATTTTGAAAACTTCATTAATATGTCAATTTTGAAAATATTAAATATTAATAGTTTGTATTTATTAATTACCTTGGGGTCCCCATAATCAGCAGCAGCAATGACATCAGTTAATTTGTGGAGGAACACATTGATTGGTCCCTGTTCTTCTAAAGATTTATCCAAATCCAACTGTAAGTAATTAATTTAATTCTTAAAAAAATACAGCAGATATTACAAACAATATTGTTCTCATTTCTTTTAAAAAACATCAAGACATAACTGTTATTCAACATATTATGTTCTTGATTCTGCTTAGACTATAATTAATTAAAAATTATGCTGTTGCAATGACCAAGTCTTACAAATCACTTAATTTAGTACAAGTATTACTCACTCTAACTAAATTGTATCCATGAGAAGCACACGCCTTTATAAATTCCTTCCAGTTAAGTTTCTGACTTTTTTTGTCAGACATCCATAAACCGATGGTTTTATTCTGCGGCTCGCAACTATCCATCGTTGTAAAAATATTGAATTTATTAAACTTTACACTATTTTACTAAATTAAAAACAAAACTTTGCTGCTGTTATGCTTTGTAAGTAAACAATAGAACTGCAACTCAATGGAGAAGCACCAATTGTAAAAACAGCTTGAAATTGTAAACCAGGTGTAGCATGTTATTTGTTTAAATGCAAAACTCTAAACGGCGAAATTACAAAACAATAATAACATGGAGCTAACGCGGCGCGATCGACCAAATGTCAAATTAATTGATAAAGATGTTGGTAAATAGTGCTGTGCTGAGAATCTAATATTCTGTCACACATAGACAGAACGGTAATCGATTAAAAGTTCAACATATGACATCGACTAAATTAAATTTACAGTACATGCGATCAAATATTTGCCACCTGGCCGCGTGTGCCGAAACACTTCAATTATCCATCATTTGAAATGTATACATTTTCATTTATTTTCATCGAGTTAACATTTCTACGATTCGCCTAAAAGGAAGCATTAAAGTTCTGAAATCTACAAAAACGACCCTATCTTTCTCTTTGGTTATTGATTATGGTCATATTCGAATGAGTTAACATGACAGATAGACGTCAAATCATAATCAAATAAAAAAAATAACCGAGCGACCGACAAGTTTAACTTCTACTCAGTATTAATACAATTTTGCTGCTTTGGTGTATAAAACCTTATAAAATTATACACCTTTAGAGGTTCCAATTTATTTTAAAAACGAAATCTAAAAGTGTATTGCCGGCTCCTCAGTAATAATTATAATAAACAATTATGTCTGAAGAAAGTGTAGTAAATGTAAAACACCGTATGTTAGAATTATTTTCTGAAATGGATGAAGCTGATATTGAAACTATAGAACAATGGATATGTCAGCAATCATACAGAAGAGGTAAGCACTTTGTCCAAATAGGAACGCTTACTTAACGTCAATGCTATCAATTTGATGGTTATGTTTTCAGTTTTATATTTTTTGCAGATTTAGACCGTTTAAAAGCGTTGAAAAGTTCACAGAAAACACTCGTGAAAATTGCGAACTCCATAAAGAAAATTGTACCATTTGAAGCAGAGATGCCATCAGAAATAATAAAACCGCCAACTGTTGGAGATCAAGCTGATTGCAATGAAACTAACACATGCCATGTGGATGAATTTTTGTACGATGATAATGAAGTCGATAAACTTGTAAAAAAAGGGAAACTAAAAAAGTATTACTGTACAAACTGTAACCATCGGGATGTAAAAGTGATTATAATTGTATTTATATTATATCCAGCAGAGACAATTTTTTTCCAAGCAAATGGTAATGAAACTTAGTAATAACCTGCATTCGTGTTTCAGGAATTGATATATATTTCACATTCAATGTCCTGTCAAGCTCTACAGTACATATTCAAAGTTTTGCTTCCAAGTGATTTAGAAGAAAAACAGATTTTGGATGTTGGTTCACGATTAGGAGCAGTCTTATATGGTGTAAGAAGCAATACTACATAATAATATATTTATTTTTAGTTGTTTAACTTTGATGTGTTTTACATGATAAAACTTTTTATTTACAGGCTTACTATTTGTCAAATGCGGGTACTATAATAGGTGTGGAAATGAATGAAGAATGTTGTGATATTCAAAGAAGAATGATTGAACAATATACAATGGACACTAACAGAATAAGAGTAGTTCACTCTGATGTAATGGAAAGAAGTGATCTGGTCACAAACTCCAATATTATTATAATAAATATATTAGAATTCTTTGTTGATAATGAAAAACATAAGGAAATGTGGTATTTTTTCAGAAAATATATTAAGAAAGGCAGTTATCTTATTTGCAATAGGAGCATGACTGATACATTTGTAAATTTAGATATATTTGAAGAATTCATGAATTGGTTAAATGTTTGTAAACCACATCAAATAGAAAATGAAGTACTTTTTGATATTGAGGATTATAATGATTTGTACTTGTATACAGTTAATTAAAATGAATTATACAACCAAAGCAGTTGCTGATTTTTCTTTAAACCAAGAGACCTAGTGTGGAAGTTATGAAATATTCTTGTGTACATACAGTTATAAAACTTCACTGCTATAGGCATTCATAATATTGGAGCTACACATACTTATGTACCTGCTGTATATTTTATACCATTGCTCACCTGCCTAATAGAAATTGCTCCCTCTAATTTAATTTTTTCGAATTAAGTAGTTATTTATATGGTTACTGGGATATTTCATTTCATGTTTAAAATTTTTCTACATTAAGCAACTCTTCGTTAGTTATGAATTAACTATTAAAAGATGGTTGTGATAAAGTATGATTTTATGGAAAAAAACTATTTCAAGTTATATTAGACTATGTCCTAATTATGTATTATTGTTACAATTAATAAATAATTTTTTTATGTACAACTAAATCCAATTTAGACAACACTAATCGACTAACTAGTCACATACATATTCTAGTCGAGTTACATCACTAGTACATTGTCAGATCGTAACTAAGATGGCGTGCAATAGATAAAAAAATACATCTGTCTGAAAGAGTTGATATGATTTTTTGTTACGTTTTTGAGAAGTTAGTGCCCATCTTAACGTAATGTAAATTGTATAGCGTCATAATTGTTTTGTGTGTTTAATTTTAAACTAGCATAATGTGGCACGAAGCAAGAAAACAAGAACGGATGATCCGGGGAATGATTGTTGACTACCGTCGAAGGGCGGAGCGCCGTAAGGATTTTTACGAAAAGATTGTGAGCCAATCGTTTGTTTACCTGCATATTACTACTATTCAATCACTTATAAAATATTGTCTTTGAGTTGATGATAATGATTACAAAAGAACAAAGCCAATTTCTTTACTTCTTTTCAGAAAGCGGAACCTACACAATTTTTACAACTTCACGGTCGACCATGCAAAATACATTTAGATCCTGCTATTGCTGCAGCTGGCGAGGGCCCTGCTATAATGTTAGTACAAAAACTTGCACTCATCTGTAAACCTTATAGTTCCCACATCTGGAAATTCTATTCTAAAATCTTATTATTTACTGTAATATCCGTCACGAATAAAATAATTCTTGAAGGAATTAGTGTTCATCATCATCAGCCTTTAAGTGCCTTTTGCTGAGCAACTACCTCCTCATGCCAACAAGGTTTGCGCAATAATTATCAATATACTTGCTCAAGGCAGATTGGCAATTTCAAACTTATAATTAAAAGTCTTGAGATTACTTCTCTGTATGTCAACGGTGTCTTATTAAACTTGGAAAATATATAAAAGAAGAATTCACATTGGTACTAATCATTGTTAAATATGTTTGGCTCCCTAGGCAACCACATATACATGTGTTAACAATTTTTTTTTAATGTTATTGGTTATTTCATAACTTAGGATGCCATGGCAAGGAGATACCAACAACATGATAGACCGTTTTGATGTTCGAGCCCACTTGGATTACATACCAGAAGTGAGGTACCCTGAAATACCACCAGAAGAACTCAGTCCAGAAGAAAGGCAGTGCAACTATGAGAGATACAGGATTCTTGCACAAAATGTGTTTTTGGGAATAAGTAAGTGCCCGTTTTCCTTGAGAAGACAATTTAATTTTTAAATCAGATCATAACAAATTGCATTTTAAGATTCACTCAGTATGCCATACATATTGCAATTTTAAAAGTTCTGGTATAATAACACTGATTGCTTTTTCAGGTGAAGACAAGTTTCTTCAGCAGTTAGCAATTGAGGAGCAATTTGGAGTCACAATAGAAGAGAAAGAGCATCAAAAAGAAAAACTACATGAAAAGAAAGGAACTGGTGCCGCTATAGGATACAATTATAATGATCCAGGAGCACAACCGTCTGGTTCTAACGGTAGATTCAGCTTTACTGTTATACCTCAATGTGCTGTGATGCTTTGAAGGCTACTTATGTCTGGTCACGGGGTAGTATATTCTACAGTCTTTTCTGGGTATTCTTATGGCATGCAGTATTAATTACAGGACCAGATACTAAAAAAGTGGAACAGAAAGATTCGGACGATGATTCAGATCTGGAAATCATTGATGTCGACTTGAGCATTGATGTGAACAAGATGGAGGCTTCACAGGTGAGTTTCACTTATTTAATATCTTTATATCTATATCATTTGATTACTTTTAATTAGTTTAAAATACTCAGATCTTGGTATAAAATTATACCTAAGTACAACAATGATTGTCCCCCTATTGTTCACAGTAACTTTTAACATCACATGCTCACATAGCTACTGCTATTATATTATGTATTCACAAAGTCACTTATAGTACATTATTTATAATTACATACATACTGTTTACTGTGTTACTAAAGGAGTTGAGTGTGATTGTGATAACCATTAACCACTGCAAATGTAGTTGGAATGTTATTTAAAATGTAAATCATATTATAGTGCCTTTTCATACATTACAGTTTTGTGTGTGTTTTATCGAATGACCTATTTGGCACAGAAATGTTGCTAACTGAATTTCTGCATGACCTGTATTCATGTTTCATTTGCTTCATGCATGTAATAATATATTCAAAGAAAGAATAACCCTTTGTATGTACATCTTAAACTCTAGCACATTTTAAATAAATGTTTGTATTTAAATGGACATATTTTGTTTTGTTTTTATGTTTCATTAATCAGCTTCTACTTACGTAAATGTAGTAAACTATGTTTGTACTTTTGCTCATGCTACATTTTACGGAGTACAGGCACACGAGCTGAATGGCGTGGGACCGCAGTTTGGCATGGCTGGTTGCGATCTCTTCTCCTTCCTGACTGGCGATGCTGATGATGCAGAGCACCAGAAGCAACTACTCAGGGAAGAAAAGGAAAAGGCTATGTTCTCTGGGAGAAAGAGTAGGAGAGAACGAAGGGCGCACCGGTGAGATTCCTTTGTATTTCATTCGTTATTGAAGTTTAAAATGAGTTATATATTCAACCTCCTAATTTATAATAATATTAAATCTATACAGTAAATGCTTATGATTGAATAAAGATAAAGGCCACAGGCATAAAATAAACTGTCTTTACAAATAACCGTCAAGTATTGTGATGTGCCATTATAGTCTTAAGTCTTCTTTGTTTGCTATTTAAATATAATAAATAACAATTCCAATTTCATGCTGCCACAAGAAGTTATACTATTGAGGCACGCAAGTAAGATGATCTCCTTATTATTAAGTTGCGAGTCGGCGTGTTATGGTGTAATAATACTTATTTTGCAGCGACAAGAAGCTTGCTACAAGGGTGGTGAGTCCTCCAAGTTACGCTGCGCCGTCGTCAATGCCGGCACGGTCGCCGAGTCGCTCGCCAAGTCGCAGCCCTTCTCCAGATACGGGCGAGAACATACAGTTCATCACATCTTTTGGTGGAGAAGAAGAAGAGAAACCACGTAAGTATTAACATATGAATGTCGTAATTAACGATCTGAGACTTTTCTTTTGTAATTTTGTGTGAAATTAATAAAAAATGTGATCATGAAGGAACATGACAAATAAAACAGACATTTTATAAATTGTAGCCGTCAACGCTATCGCTATCGCTGTTACTTTCTGTAACATTTATTATGAATTTTATCTGTGATATTTATTGTCAATTAACATATCTAGCTTACTTATTTTTTCCTCTGCTTTAACAACATGGTATACGCATTTAGACCATTCGTTAGCCATAATTTTTTGAATGCCTTCCTAAAACTGATTCACTGATTGTTTATCGATTTTTGTGTTCATCACTACACTGTTATATGTGGTATCATTATTTCACAAAATGACAGTAGGTCATGTCAAATCAGGAATCGAATTAAAATTCTGACTATAGTTAAAGTTGTGTTACATTACTGACGTGATGATTTATTAAGCATTTTTTTCACCGAGTTTATTGATTCTTTTTATCTTTACAGCTCCCAAACCACTATATGCAGACAAAGTAAAGCAGAATTTGAAGATGTTATACGCTGACGTTGCGCGCAAGCCTCGTAGCAGGTACCTGTGGCTCACGTTATCTGACAAATATATTTCGGAAAATAAACTATGGAATTTACTTAATGTTTTAATCCTTTTTAGGCCGTCGCCACCAAGCAGTCGTCGTCGACCAATTGGCCCAAGAGGACCCAACTCACGTTCAAGATCGTTTTCGCGATCCCGGTCGCGCTCAAGGTCACGCTCGAGGTCGCGTTCGAGGTCCCGTTCCAAGTCTCGCTCATCCCGATCCCGCTCCGTTACCTCAAGGTCAAGGTCCCGCTCCTACAGCCCTTACAGACGAACTCGCTCGAGGTCAAGGTCACGTAACCGTAGAAACAGATATTCTCGAAGCCCGGCAAAGTTTGTATTCACACCTATTACTCTCTAGTCAATAGATCGCTTGTAATTTAGTTGAAACTAATTGTCTTTGTATTTTCCAGTCAAGCTAGTGGTTATGCCAAGCGTAATAACTCCAGGTCGATGTCGTTTGAAAGGTAAGCTCGTTTTGAAGTTTATTATATTTGATTGGTGAGGTGAGTCAGACAAAGTGAAGGTGCCATTATTGTTCGAAGCGGTAATTGGACACTATTTTATGTAAATGTAAAGGTTTGAGTTAATGTGGGTGTAATGTTGCAGTAGCGATAAGAATGCGCAGAGCAAGCCGGCCGTGCCGCGGTACTACGGGCGACGCAAGGAGGACCAGTCGTCGAGTGAACTTTCCATAGACTCCGACTCAAGCGAATCTGATCAGGACGCGAAAAACAAGTAAGTCAGTTTTTGCGTAAGGCAATCGTTTTCCAACCGAGTTACTACCAAAAGGTTGTAGGTAAAAATTATTAAATTAAGCTATGGGAAAAATCACTATTAATCTTGATTCTCAAAAATATAGCGCGATTTGTTGCAATTAAGCTAACACAAGCAATTCCTTCACATTTCAGAATGGCGGTGGGCAATAAATCCAATACAAACCAGAATCAGTTACGATTGTCTGGATCCAGCTCCAAAGTCAGTAAGAATCATTTGCTTTTATACATTTGTTCTGCTTTCATTTTAGCACCTTACGACGTTACTGGCCAGTAGTTTATTCAACAGCAGATTTCGCTTTTTTACTAAAATATTACGGTTTTTTACGAAACCTGCTAAACTCCTGGTTGTACGTTTACGTGTCCCCATGGCATTCTTGTTTGAGATGACTGTTGCTTGATTATAATCCTATTGTGTACCCGCAGTGTCTAAATTTTAATTTTCCGAAATCGATCACCTATGCCTTTTTGCCAAGCAATAATTTCTTAACAATATTTTATTTGGCAATTAAAATATTATCCTTAGTAAACCAGATGGACCTTTTTTCTGCACTCTTTTATATTAAATATACAAAAACAGGATATCTGAAAAGATGGACAAAATAAGTGATGCTAAGGGCTTTTTGGTAACGTATTTCTCATCGTGCAAAGCCGCTCCACACTTTCATTTCAGGATTTATCCAACAACCGTGAACCGTGACGGGGTGGTCCTGCGACTTTTTACGAGGATCAATCTCAGTAAAGAGTTGATTCTCCCAAAATGGTCCATAGAATTAATTAACATGATCATTTTGCAGGGTCCGTCGCGTGAAACGCTATCACTGAAAGAAAAACTCAAGAGGAAAATGCAGGCACAGTTATCAAGGCAGCGTGAGTTTTATAAATAAGATAGTACTAGACTACCCGTCGAATCTGTATAACTTATATTAAATTTCATATTAAATCAATAACAATGCCTAAACTCTCTAATAGATTCTGTAGCCATTTGCATTTATGTGCCCTATTGTTTTGTGCAGTTCGCGCCGACAAGCGGGCTGAAGCTGAGCGCCAGGAACGTGAGAGCCGACGGCAAGCGAGGCGCGACGAAGAAATGAGAGAATTGGCCATCAAAATTAGACGCAAGTCTGTATATGTGTGAACTTGTAAATAAGAATGATATTGAACAATATAACTATTTCTGAAACAAAACAAACGTTGAAATCTGTTACACATGTGTATGATTGATGTTTATTTAGCAAAATTAACGTTTTTCAATAGTAGCATTTGTTACAGGCAACGTGAAATGCGACACCAACAGAATAGAAGATCCAGTGAAGACGACTCTGATAGAAGTCGCAGTGGATCGTCATCCAGGTATGTTTTTTTTTAATCTTTTTTTAAAATGTTTACCCACTGTAGGATTTTCTTCTGTGTGTCGTGGGTGCGTTTACAAACATACAACTTCACACACACACGTCACACCTAGACCCGGAACAACAATTTGTAGATCCCACAAAGAATTGGTGCAGGAATCGAGCCTCGCTGGTTCGATCCCCGTTGCGCGGCAACTAGTATGATCCGGATATCCCCACCTGGAAACATTATCCCTGCGCGCAAGTAGAGATAAAGCCTTGTTTACACTAACTTCTTTTCCTTAAAAATATTCTTATTTTCAGGGAATCGCTCTCTAACGGCAAAAAACGAGAGGACAAAAGCAAATCGCGTAGCGCATCACCGCCTGCACGTATTCCAGTGTGGGAAACCAACCGGGATTTCGCTTCAACGTCACAAAGGCCCAGGTCTGATTACAGCATGAACAAGCCAAGAGAATATGGAGAGAACTCATACTATTCAGATAGACGGCGGTATCAGGACCAAGAGAGCAAAGATGACAGGAGAAATGACGAAGATAGGTCCCAATATTATTCTAATAGGTATGATAAATACCCGAGTCGTGAACAAGGACAGGGCCGGTACGACAACTACAATCGTTATGAAAACCACAGTTATGAAGGCAGGTGGAAGGAGGATGGCTACAATACGGGGCGAAGGAGGCCGTATGGACACAGAGGCGGCTACAGAGGCCATGGTTTTAGGCATAACGAGCATAGTAGTAGTCCCTCTCAAGACCACGATAGAGATACTGCCGAGGGATACTCGAAAAACAAAGTGAAACTTGTAGATTATTAGATAGGGAAAGAGTTAATGCCAAAATAGGTGAAATCTATGTAGTTAATGAAATGTTAGTCGTTTAGGGTTGTTTGTGTAGTATTTTACTTTGAACATATCGTAGGACTTAAGTTTGTACGTAAGTACGGTTATTTTATCTTCATTTTCTTACATCGAAATTCACTAGTCGTCGTTTGTTGTTCCATCTCCCAGAACATTTATTTATTACTTTTTAAAATTGTGTTGTCCTTCTCACTCCAAAGTCCTCCATCATATTTACATGTTCCGTAATGTATCATATGTTTGTATTGTATTACCTGTCCTTTTTGTGTAGCTCTTCTTATTTTGTAATAAAATAAAATAAAATTATGTACTAAACTAATCCTGTCTTTATATTATTTACCTCTGTTCTATTGGAATATATTTAAAAATTCGTTGTATTATCTATTTGAAGTCAAACAACTTTCTTAAAACATTTACGAAAGTGGTAGATTAATTTAAAAAGGCAAGGTAAAAAGGCTTAGGTTTGTAATTAAATAGCTAGAACGCTTATAGCTAAACAGAACATATTCGTATTTAAATACTTTATAAAAAGTTTATTGGTTCTTGCTTATAAAATATGATAGGTACTCTGTACACAATATGAACTTATCAACAATAAATTATTTATGCCAAATAAAATATATGAATAAACTAACTTACATTTACTTATTTTTATTTATGTAGATAACGCTTATATAAAAATAATATCCTCTACTAAGTAAAAAAATATGCCGTTTTTTCAACTCATCGAGTCGCATACACTCATTTAAAAGTATTGGTCACATTTAGCCAATGAAACCATATTTTATTCACATAAAGTCCCGCCTTTATATATAAAAAACTCTGACAACCTCTCCAAGATCTAACTCTTTTTTTTACAAATAATATGATACCACTCCCGTGCTGATTTCCACCAAATTTGTATGAAGAGAATAGTCCAATAAATGAATTCACTTGAATTAAAATAGTTTCAATTAATCACTGAGTGTGTCAACATCAATATCTTCGTTGTCATCGTTAGTGGAGTCTGCGTCTCGTCCAGGTAGGCCTGTTGTGCCTGCTATACCACCACGCCCCTCTTTCGTATGCCGCCATTTCATGCGCCGGTTTTGGAACCACACTTTTACCTGTGAACATAATAAGTGAAGCTTAATAACTACTTCTTTTACTATAGATACCAAACAGAAATTAGTGCAATACACGTATTGTTTAAAACATGATGACTGATGATGATTGGAGATCTTATAAAGTGGCTTCTCCGGACGAGGGTCAGGTGGAGGGAGTGTCCTGAACATCAGCCGTAAAAGGCCCCGTCTGTGGTGGTCTATTGGCTCTTTGAGGGGCGCGCAGAACGCTACGCGCCGTACGCTCGGGATGTAAGAACTTGTAATAAAGTCTCTTTGAATACCTACAATTGTTTCTAGCGACCTACAAAATGTCAATAAGATATCCTTCGTGATAAATCTAAGTATGAATGAGTATGATATCTATTAAAGAAAATTAAAGCGTAGCAGGAACCTACCTACCTAATTACCAATAATGTACAGACTAGCTCTTGCACCTGTCCCATATTAAATACTTTTAACAATATCTAACTAGTTTTCAACAGAAAACTATGATCATCAACAGTGTTAATTAACGTAAGTGTATTTTCACACCAGGACAGCGGAGACGTCGGCGCCATACCGCCTGCGGTGCTATCGTTAGTTACTAATATCTGATACAGATGTTGTACAGTATCAACAGTTTGACCAGAACCAAGCTTGGCGTAGCGTAGCGTTAATGTTATACATATATATTCTATCTAAGATTAACCAAACTGTTGATTACGTCCTAAACTACATATAAACATTATAATTGTGGGAGAGCCAAATAATAGTGAAATGTAGACGATTCAATAATCAGTTTAAATTGAATTAAGTACCTACATGTTATTCCATGATATGGGTGTAATGGTCCTGGTATGGTGATTACATATCTACGAAAAAATTCAAAACTCAGAAAAAAATCTATAAAACTCGGGATTTTCACACGGTTCGACGGCCCCCGCCCCGAAACGTAACGTCTTTTGACTTAGGTATCGGACATCCGGAGATCATTGATAAAATTTTCAAACATGTCTTTTTTATTTAGGTATCGTAATTTCACTCATAATAATGCGATCAGTGCATCAAGTATGCCGTTCTAATACAATAACAAATACTTACTTGAGCATCAGTCAGTCCTAAGGTAGCAGCCAGTTGTCGCCTATCTGGCTTCGTAATATATTTTTGTATTTGAAACCTTCGCTCCAGCCCTTTTCGTTGTAGATTACTGAACACTGCTCGGGACCAGGATCGCTTCCTCTTGCCACTCGATGTGACGTCACACCGAGGAGCTGATGATGGTTGCGGCGGTGAGGATGAGGGTAGAGGTAACCTATACACTAGACAAATAATAAATGTTAAAATGGAAACAGCATCGCCAGAACTTATCTCCTACTATTTACTTATTACAACATAGTTTCAGTAAGCAGATATTATCTAACTGAAAAAGATTCATCTATAGGTACTTCTATACTAATATTATAAAGAGGTAATATTTGTAAGTTGGTATGTAGGGGGTAATCTTTGCAATCGCTGGTCGGATTGCCAAAATTATTTCACTGATAGATAGCTACAATGTTCTTGAGTGCTATAGGCTATAAAACACGATTAAATGGAACCGAGCAGCGGGCGAAACCGCACGAGAGTAGCTAGTAAAATATAAAGGCAACCAAGCCAATCGTTTGATAAAGATAAATTTAGTACATATCTAACAATTGGATGCTACCACTCTTCACTAAAAATATAATATGTTTTAACCTTTGGGGGATAGGGAATAAATCAACATAAAGACAAATGACTTCTCCCGCCCTGAAGGGGAGCGAAAAAGTGTCCAGAATAAAAATCACGCACAACACCACAGGAGTTGCAAGCATTTTGCTGTATCTAAGTACTTGTTTTTGTAGGTATTTTGGGGTTTAGAGATTTGGAAGATAGGGGGAAGGGAAGGTTTTTATTAATCGAGGTTTGAGTAACATTCCGCTAAATAACTAAATTTCCGCTGGCCAAGTCGTGGTGGTCCGGAGGTTAAGGCGCCCGCTTCTCATGCATGAGGGTGCGGGTTCGAAACCTGGCAAGTACCAATGTGACTTTTTCCGAGTTATATGTACTTTCTATGATTATTTAGACACCACTGACATACGGTGAAGGTAAATATCGTGAGGAAACCTGGACTTATAATTTCTAATTATAAGTTTGAAATCACCAACCCGCATTGAGCAAGCGTGGTGATTAATGCTCTAACCTTCTCCGTGTGAGAAGAGGCCTTTGCTCAGCAGTGGGCACTTATAGGCTGATGATGATGATGATGATGAGTAACATTCCTAGATCGCAATAAAGTGCGATTTTTTATTCGAATTTTGTAGTTCGGCAAACAAGCAGACGGATGGTAAGCAAACAAGCCGCCCATGGACACCAGCATGGGCATGGCCAACAACAGAGGAGTTACGAGTGCGTTGCCGACGTTATGGGGATTAATAATTTGGATTAGATAGGATTGGGGGAGGGTAAGGACCTGGGTAAGGGGCCTCTTATCTCACTCACACGGCGAAACAATGCTGCAGTTGTTTCAACGCTGGTTTTCTGTGAGGCCGTGGTATCACTCCGGTCGAGCCGAACCATTCGTGCTGAAGCTTTTCTCTTCCACACTTAAATGTTAGAATAATATAATATTTCCATAGAACATATCTGACATGGTGTTTAGATTGTACCAACGGCAAATATGAAGATCACTCCCCAGTTCGTGAATATCTAAGAGTTGATAGATATCATTGCCACTTGAAACTTGAAACTTTTATTAGATTATTAGGTAATTGACGTGAGTATATCGAATTTTTTAATAACTAAGCCCAATCCTTTTAAATGGAAATCAAAGTATATCAACTTATATGGGGTTATTAGCTATAATTAATTTCTGCATCAATTTAAAATGACAACATCATTTAGTAGACACCATTAACAGTGTATTTAAAACTGATCCAAAAAGTGACTACTTAAATAAAATGCTTATGTATTGTTTATGCGGTATTATGAAATCGTAGGTACATACCTAAGCGAACTTAATACCTACCTTAGACATTTTTTAACAGTCAGTGCTATATGTGATGCAGATGCAAAATCCTAGTAGGTGCAAGAAGAAGCAAGTTTAAATCACCTATTAGAAGTCTTTACAAGAATATTTTTTATGGCATAAACTGATGTTTTTATTTTCATCACAGGTTAAGGTATTATTTGACCAGAATAAAAGACATAAACGAGTTGTAGATGTTATTTCAGCAGAGTGAACGTGCTGTAGACGGCAGATTGTATTCCGTTCAGCTTAACATGTACTTGGTACTTAAAACATAAAATAATAACTTATATGAAAAATAATTAACAATTAGAACCCACCATTTTACCTACCATGCTTACTCAATGATAAATTTAAAACTATGAAATAATTAATAAGTAGATAGATATCTAAAGACTGTGTTATGAAAAAAGCTTAGAATTACTTAGAAATGATATGGCCAGGTTTCCCCAGTGCTTTCTTTCAACGGTTATCAGTGGTGTCTCAGGAATTTTAGAAAGTGCTTATAACTCGGAAAAAGTCATATCTAATAGTGCAAGCGCAATAATATTTAGCGGCTCCAACTTGGAGCGAGATAAGGAATGGGGTGGTATTCAATCAGTACCTAAGAGTCTGACACTCCCTCTCGCCTCACTTAGGATGAGAAAAGCAAGTTGATGATTTCCACCTTCAAAAAAGGCTACCTACTTTCAAGTATTTATTGATTTAAGTACAAGCTTCCGCCCGCGGCTTTGCCATCGTCGTCGTGAATAAAAAGTCTACCTATGTGTTAATCCCTATCATGTGGTACCTATCACCTACCTACACACCAAATATACCTATTTTTTTCACCAAAGAACATCAAACCTACATTCCATACATTCTCACAAACTCTCACATTTAGGCACTTATATATAATATTATTTGTAATTAGAACATTACAATTAGAATTATAGTAGGATTTAACAAATAGAATATGATCTGATAATTTTCTAATTAATTATTTGTGTAACCTAGGTAGCTACGTTTGCGTTATTTGTTCTTTTCGCATATTTTTCCTTTTATTACTCTTTCTTTTATATTATATTACCATGATTTTTTGTGTACTTTTTCTTTATTTCTTTCTTCTTATTTGTTCTTTTACCGCAATGACGTTCATGTTTCGAATTAGGCATGTATTTATTTAAACATCCAAATAAAACAAAATATCAATAAAAGTAAATAAAAAATTGAAAGAAACTTAAAAATATCACGCAATACTAAAATTAAAATTACTCACATTTTAATTTTAGTTTTGCGTGATATTTTTTTTATATTTAATAATTTTAAAATCTTAACACTATTACCTATCTACACTGTAAATGGTTTTAATAAACCATTTACATAGATAATAGTTTATTACGTTTATTACGTAGATAATAGTTTATTTTGATTAATTGTTTATTACATTTCATTATTTATTTACCTATAGCTGTAGGTATTTATTACACTTGATTATATATTTATTGGAACCTTATGTAAAAATATGCACGGGAGACTTATGTACGTAGGTAGATATATCTAAGGCATTCGCTACGAGACCTTTGGCTGGTGCATAAATGAGATTGTTTTCTTTATAATAATATTTACTAGCTTCTGCCAGCGGCTCCGCCTGGAGTACCAAGTGGCCTATAAAGGTACTAAGTATACTATAATATTCCAAATATAAATATATATACATATAGTATTCCAAACTATATAGTCTATCTCTATACCAAAATTCGTTCGGATACGTTTTTAAGTAGTTTTCAAGTGAGAAAGTAACATTCACTACTACCTACTTACAAGCTTAGGTACTTATTCCCTGTAAACGCGAAGTTTATATGGAATAAGTAATGTTAATACGATTTAACTGGATGTCATTGGTAAATCTAAGTTCCACAAAACCGTTTAACGTTTGTCTGTGGGAACCAAGAAGGTCGGGAGTAGGGATTCGGTCTATTTAAATTAAATTTCATCATTATTTATCTTACATAAAAACGAACTGTGAAATGAGTTGGTATTTAGGTAGGTATCTACATAGATATCTTAGTGTAAAAATCGGGAACAGTTAGGTAAACTGAATACATAAAATCTTTTTATACGTAGATAGTGGTTCTTACTTAATTATTTACTTGCATACAACACATAAGTACATTTTTCAACAGGATTTTTTTACATCACATACATATACGTAGGTAGTGTATGGCCGTGCAAACTAAACGTGTAGGTACTTAGATATACTTACCTACAAAATTTCTGTTCAATCGGTTAAAGATATTAACAAATTTAACAATAATGAATCCACTTAAATCATAGTTTTATTAAATCAAACTTTTAACAGTTCCAGAAACTATTTAAATTATAGTGTCGGACAAATTAATTTCAGGTCTAATCAATCATTTAATATATTTCACCGAATGTGTTGGAGGAAACTAAAGAACGGCTGATTCACCTTTGCTTACTATCTGTTGCGATCAATGTGACCAATAAATTCAGTACTGCAAAACAGTTAACCAATAGTTAATCTACTTAGTTATATTTTTTAATAAAAAATCATTATCATCATTATAACTAACAACATAGATACCTGTAGTAGGCCTTAATGCTGGATGTAAATGTGTGTATGGAAGAGGCAAGGGAAGCTGTAGAAGGGGTGGTTCATCCCTGCAGCAGCGGTACAACGCAGCCACGCACCCGGCACATGGAGGCTCTTGACTCCGAGAAACCTCCGTAACCGGCGTACTTGAGTGATGAGAATCATTATTACCCAAAATACTGTCCACACTAAACTTTAACTTTGTCACATTAACATCACTATTCAAAGACGTCATTGTCACTTAATTCCATCAACGAACCGACACGAAGAACCTTCTGTTATGAAAGCAACTGAAAAACTGACAAGCGACGCGCCTCCGATACCGGCGCAAGCGCAAGCTAGGGGCGTGGCGATTCTAATGAAGCGTTCCTATTGGCCGATTGTTACTGGGCGTTACGCAGCTGTTATGGAGTGAGGCAGCATTGACTGATCGTGGTGGTACCAACAACTGCACTTGTTTACAATAAACTGCTTCTTTAATGTGTTTTATATGACTTTGCACTTTAGATTAAATTTTATTGCTAAGGAACATGCGTCATTCGTCAGTTTATAGGATATTTTCAAAATTCTATTAGGTATTTTCAACAATGAAGTTAGCTTATATGCCTACCTACCTACCTACTTTAAAAATAGTCTAGATTATTTATATTTATCTACGTTAAAAAAATATGGTTTATTTATATGGGTTTTCCGCTGAAGTATATACCTACTTACTTAATGAAACTTAGGTACCTGTTTCTGGGTAATTACCCAGTGTTTTTAATATATTGTATGTATTGCCTATTGTTATCTAATCGGCTAGCAGCCCGCCTCTGCTTAATAATAAATAATGAACGTCTCTCTATTGTTGCAATTTCTTCTTGTACCGGTCTAATAGAAATGAATGATTCCATTTTGACCTTAATAATCCACTGTTAAGTACTTTTCATCTAAAGCGGACCATTATCTAATTGCGGTTTTCATTGCACTATTTGGGTACCTAAACAAGAATGTTCCAAAGAAAGTGAGTACCTACATAGCAAAGGAATATATAGAAAAAGAAGTCCTTACAAATTTTATTGTAAATTCAATGTTATCTACTTTATCTTAACACCCTCTGGATGTATCTAATATTACAGAAAACATTCAAAGCAATAAGTAGGTATGTGACTTGTTACAATAGTCTACTAAAAGGTACCTAGGTAATATTAGCTAGTGAAAGTCGATAAACGGTATAGAAGTTTGGAGTACCTATGACTCCGAACTATGCAACCAATACTGCAATATGCATGATGTTAATACACACTAAGTATAGGGATATTTAAGCGAAATATTTTTTCCATCTTTTAGTAATACATTAAATAATATGTAGGTATCTGCATGGGCGATATAAAAAATCAAGTGTTGGAGAGTCATCCTTCCACATGTTTGTATGGGCCGGTTCGACCAGAGTGATACCACGGCCCCGCCCAAAACCGGCGTAAAATAAAGCTTGCGTTGGCTTTCGCTGTAGGATTGTTTACAAGAGGATCAATTTTCAAATCCTAAAATACCGGCAACGCTTTTGCGACTTCATAGTAAATTCATCAGTTGATCTCTCTGTTATTTACCGCCATTTAAGTAACATTATAAAAATCCTATCGGCGAGAGAAGAATAAAGATTTCGTCTTAAAAAAAAGTAAAGTGTGTTAAATCTATATTTATAAAAAATCTGTAGAGGGGTCAACTCTGTACATTAAATTTATTTTCAAAGTAACTACCAGGGGGCGATAAGTGATCGATACTGATGTCAAAAATGCAATCAATCTGTCTGTCTGTATGTGTGTTCCTAATACATAGAAACAAAAACTACTCGACGGATTTTAACTAACAAATTTTATGTAAGTATACTTCCATTTTGTCCTATTTTCATAGGCTGCTTTTTATCAACACAGCACACGGGCGAAGACGCTGTACGTCATATAGCGGTAGAACATAAGAGACAGTGGCAGATCCTCAGGCGGCCGACTCGATCGTAAGCCAAATCTCTCGGGTGCAACTCCCATATAGAGCAATGTAGATGTATTAGGTATAGGAATTTTCGATTAGTTTCCTAAACTTCTTAATAATAGCATGGAGATTGGAGGCGTGGCGTAAGAAGTTCCTATGGAATGACAATTCGGCTTGATCTAAAATAAAGAAGAGTCTCCTTTACGAAAAGTTACGATAAGAAGAAGATGAATATACCTATATTATAGAATAGATAGGGATAGGGAGAGATTGAATATTTGTTGACGAAAATTTTGACACAGAATTTAAATACCGGCTAAGACAGATAAAACAGATAGTCTCTTTATTGTCAGTAATCTCTCTGCTGCTGCATGTATACCTAGACTTCATAGGTACGTAAACATTGCTAATGAACCAGATCTCTTCACCAGACTAACTAGGCCAAGTGATTTGTTACAATCGATAAACAACTTTCCTTCCAAATTATCGACTAAAGTTTATAAAACTATCAACAAAACTCCAGTTTTCTAAATTTCTAAATGCGAAAATTTAAATAATCCTGAATGATTTTCACCTCAATAAATCCTTAGGCTTTCAACCGCACATACGAATAAGAATGTGGGTTCGAGTATACAAAACAGATCCAAGAATAAAACTGAATATTTCGACCACACTCGATTATACCCACTTACCTAAACATAATACAGAATCAATCGATATAAGAACAACTGTTAGCTCTAAAACGCTCAAATCGATTACGGTTGAGTTTATTTTGCTTGTCAGAGTACACCTGTGCTACATCCGCGGCCACAGATATAGATCCCATCATTACAGAGCATCGGCACGCTGCGCCCGCGCACATTGTTTACTCGATAAGTATCAATGATCTGTAGCCAACGAAATTATTATGCATGTAAGTAGCTATACCTAGCTACTAATTATAGCGTACCCCGCCAGATGTGGACGATGTAATCGACAGTTTTATTTAAAATATTCCCATCGCCAGCACCGTGTGTAGCTGAGAAGCCATTCAGGATTTTTCTTGTAATCTAACTGTGTTTTGGTCTAAGAAAATACGACTGTTTGTTTTAGGCGTGCTCTCTTATTTTGATATTTCTTATTCATTTTAATTTATATTTAAAATCTTCAACATTTATAAGTTCGCCTATGTAACCTACCCATTGTCCATGAAGTTTAAAATAAATTAATCAATATAATCATTATCGGGGATTTATCAGAGAGTAAAATCGCAGTGCTATAAAACGCTTTGCTAAAAGATCAGTCACATTCGATTTCATGGTCGATATCGGCTGAGCATAAATCAGTAATATAGTTTAGAGTCAAACAAGATTGGTGTCAGCCGCCCGCGGTTGGCAAACGCAAAGCCAATAGGATCAAAAGATTGGCTCGAGAACGTATTGCCTGGCACACGTGTGAAATAGTGTGAATTATCTGACCGGCTGCGGGAGCTCTAAATCACATCTATCGTTTATTTACCAATCATGATATATTTTATGATATCCGATAATTTGTTAATTCCTTAACAATATTCTTAGTAAACTTTCAGCAAATTTTTTTTGATGCTCCACAACTAAGTAGACGCTTGTAGTGCGCACATTTCGTACTGTTAGTTTTCTTCCGTTATTTCAGCAATAAATTATAATCTCATCCATTACAACGTGGTCTGGAACGAATAACTTAACAGTTTACACCAATCTTTCAGGATGTTGCAGTCGTAAAACATTTTTATATTATTTGCCAAATATTTAGTTTAAAACTCCGACCCTCAGCTGAGCGAGACAATGAAAAGTTTGAACGATTTAACTTTATTGGAAAAATTATAAATATAGCAAAAGAATCATCAAATATATAGAACTTATTTGTCCGCAAATTCATTAGCAAAATTGTTAATAAAGTTGCGTTGCCAAACAGAGCGTGTTGTAAAAGTCCTGATGCTATTGTTTTGTAATCTTCGCCCAAGTAGCAATTTTAAAATAATAAATTACCTAATATCGTAACATCTGGTAGCAGTTAATTAAGTAACCATTTTTATAATCACCATAATATTTAATTACCACTATCCACATGTTGTTAAAACCTCCCGCAATTTCAAAAAAGGTACAGAATATAAAGTATGAAATTGTAAATCTTTAAAAAAATGTTATTCTGACATTTAAAATGTTATAACATTCCATGTTTCGCTATTCAAACATCTTAAACCGTGTAACACAGTGGCGCCTCGAATGTTTATAGTGACTTGAATTAAAAACACGATAATCCGGGAATCAAGCGGGAATAGCTGAAGCGACGGGTGTTCCAAACGACTTCCTTATACGATCGCCATTCTAATTCAAAACATTTTCCGGAAATCACATCTTGGGGAGATTTATTAAGTCTGCTGTTGTTTGTGAGATAGTAAAATCGTCATTAACGTCGATACTACCGAGTTACGTTGGATTCGGATCCACGTACAATTAGGCCATCGGTTTGGAAATAAGTGAGTCAACAAACACAGGATCCTTCGGGAGCGTTGTCCGTTCATTGTAACTTTATTTATAGTTTTGTGATTGTTGTTATATTTGAGTTTCTTGATTGTAGATCAAATGACTTTTATGATCCTCTTCTGAATAATTATACAAAATTCTTGTTTTTTCTAAATGTTGGGGTGAAGTATAAATGGTAGATGATTATGTGGATGGATGTTTTTGTAACTACTAAACTGTCATACTGTGGAAATAAACGTCTAAAATCGAACCGAACACTAGATATTAATACATAATATGGTTATTATAAATTTGAGACGTGTGTAAGTTGAAGGGTAAAATCCCATCACAATCTTATTGTGTGACTATAAAGAAGTTTTGTCATAAAAGTTACGTCGATGACAAGATATACTATACAATTCATTTTATTTAAAATTAATTAATTATGCTCATCGTGTTTGCTATCCTAACCGTGTGAATATAGCGAATACGACCATGTATTCGATTCAATCATGCCTCCCTACGTAACTAATTCGCAAAAACTACCACAAGATCGGTCGGTTGGATAAGCGACTTCCAAGACTCCCTACAACCTTATATTTCTAAAATGGAGACATCGTAATGGCAAGTGTGTTAGAGCCATGCTTCAGCACGAATGGGTCAGCTCGACCGGAGCGATACCGGCGTGAAAAAACCACAGCGTTGTATTTTGCCATGTCTGTGAGGTTAACGGAGGCCCAATTCTTCCCCTTCCCCAATCCCTCCCCAGTCCCTAAATCTCCAAATCCCTAATCCCTAAAAGGTCGGCAACGCACTCGTAATCCTCAGTTGTGGGT